GGTCATGAGTTACAATTTGCCAAGTAAAGATGCATGAGCAAGAGAAGGGAGAACATGAATCAAATTTTCCACTTGATATACGATTGATGTATGCATGGAATGCACAGATGAGCAAAAAAATGGATACAAAGCCAAAAACATAAAGAATTCGCCTAGTTATTACTAAATGTAATTGAATTTATCAAAGAAAACCAGAATATACCTCATCAAATCATACGCTAAGAGGACAAAGAACTCATATCCAATCTTACAAGAGCTAAACAATCAGCCAAGTAAAATTACAAAGGCAAACTGGTTTCAATAGGGTTGTCTGAGTCATCCACCACCAATTAAAATGTAAGTTTATTCTAAGAAAAATAAACAAAATTATATGATATTCATCTACCTTAATATAAACAATTTTATATCCACAATTGTCAAGTCCACTAAATTCTCTTTGTTTCATGGTATTCCATTGTCCTTAATCATGCAGGCAAGTACTTTGCTTGGATTATCATTACTAAAATATTTCCTTTTAGACAAAGAAAGAGAAATCCATACCTGCAACCAAGCTACAAGTGATGGAAAGAACATGAAAGCCGCAAGAAGATGCAATATTAGCATGCCATGGCGGTAATGAAACATTTCCAATTGTGTGTCAGAAAAGCTTTTCCCTGAATTCGGGGTATTAGGACAATTTTCATCCACAGGAAGAATTTGATTGAATCCACCACCAGATTTGAATTTGGACTCATCAGATCCATCCTCACCCTCCCGTTTGCAATCAACTAACTCCTTTTTCCATGCATGACTGCGAAATGAAGCCGCCAAAAAACTGTTACAGAAAGCAGGAGTGGCACTTAGGATTGATGCAGTACACTGGAATAAACGCTTCACATGATTATTTAATATCCAAGCATCAAATATTAAGGTAAATTTGTAAAACTTCTTTCAGAAGATAATGCAACCAATAATGTAGATAATTTGCCTTTTCATGAAAGAAGAAATGCAGAGGAAACATTTATGAGTCATATGGTCCAATAATCACAGATAGAAAAGGAAAAATGCTTTCAGACTTTTAATCAAGTTAACCGGATGAACTAATATTTTCAGCATTCATCTTTTTCATTTAGATAAAGTGCACAGATAAGGGTCAGAAGACTACCCTTCATTCTTCATATTTGTTTTTCTTTTTCCATTATTTTTTCCTCTGCAGTTTTCTCTTTAGTCAGAGTTTCTAGTTCTCTAATTATTAAATTTGGCACCAGATGTGAACAAAATAAAAGATGTCATCTGCTCAAATTTAATCCTCAGAATCACCAGTCTGTACAAATTATATCAACCATAAGCCTTTTCACATGCTTATCTTTCATACACCATTAGATCCATCTATATAAAACATGACCTAGAGGCATGCCTTGTAAAAGTAAAACATTACAAATATATATGAAAAATTCAGCCTACAAACTCAAGCTTTGTATTACTTAATGGCACAAGTAAGCTTCCATCTGGAGAACCACTGGAAATGGAAAAATAGACAGATGGGGAAGCAGACATTTCCCTGACAGCATTTTCTTAAAATGAGTCTCTAACTAGTGGAAAGGGAAAAAAGCCTGGAAGAAAGCAGGAATATTAAGACAAACCTGCAGAGAGCAGTATGACAGCATAAAGAATGAGATAGCAGCAGTATAAAGAGACCTAACGCTGGATGAACAAAACACACCAAAATAACTGCTACAAATGCTATAACAAAAGTTGAATTGCCTCTGAGAATCCTTAGTGCCTGTTTCATGAATGGATCAAGTTAGAGTGGAATCAAGCTGTATACACACACAGACGTGCATAAGATGGTACATAGGTTTTGAGCAGAAAAATATTATAACTTAACTTTTTTTGTGGGAAAGCTGAGGTAAGTTTTACTCAAGAACATCTTAACTGAGACTTTACCTTAAATGAAAACAAACTGGAGAAAAGATCAAGGAACCAATGGATGAAGCGTAACTTTTCCTCCCACAATTGCCACCTGTAAAAAATTACCCGACATGAATACTTTTTACTGAAAATTTCTGCCAATGAAAGTTATCCCCGGTTTTAGATTCTGAAGCAGCTGAGTGATCAAGCACATTTTGAAAGATTCTAGCCAGAGTCTCTTTCTTGTTGCCTCTGAAGCTTCTGTTCATTTAAGTTGAATGGCAAGGGTTTGGAGTCTAGTGATGAGAGTTTTGTTGTCATTTTGTTAGCAGTGTGATGAGATATATTGTGTAGTATTTATTTGTGTTTTTTTTTTTATTTTCCATTTCAGTTTAATGGGTGTTGCCAATGTGTTTTATGTTGAGCTTTCGTAGGAGTGCTTGGGGGTGTCATTGGTTGAAGAGGTTGTATTTGTTTCATGGGTGATATCTTATAATCTGTTTGTATCCTTCTTCATTCTTTTGATTTTTGATGAATGATCTCCTTCTTCATTCTTTCTTAATAAATTTTCATTTTTATTTATTACCCAAAAAAATCTGCCAATGAATTAAGTGTGCACACTAGCTGCAAACCCAGACTAAGCTCAATTTTGCTTCATGAACCATCTCTAAGCACTTTTACCAAAAAAAATACCATCTCTAAGTCAGTTCCCTTGGGGTAAGTAGAAGCTCAAGACTGTAATCAGTCTTGAATCCTAATAGATTTTAGGTTTACAAAAGTAGAAGAAAAAAGAGAGAAAGGAGAAGGAAGAGAAGAGAAACAGGAGAACACAAGGAGTTGAAAGGAGGGACAGATTCTAACACATCTGCCGCCGCCACTCTCTTAGCATTTATAGGTTATGTTCAGTACATAATGGAAAGGACAGATCTGCCCTTAGTACTTACATGATAAATAAAGTAAATAAAAACTGAAATAAATAATAGCTGAATTAACAAACTGACCCAAACTGACACTACTATAACTGAAAGCAAATAACTACACATGCTGTCCTATGAACACAGTGGGGACCACTGATGTGGGGCCCACATCAGTGTTCTCTACAGGGTACATTTGGTTTGGTTGTACACCTATTTTACTAATAAAACAGATGTTTTGGGGAAGTTGGTGATGCATACCTAACTTTGTATAAATTGATGAGGAACATAGGGTAAGATAGCAATGCCTAGCAATCTAAGGACATATAGGGTGCTTAGAACATTAACATTGTAAATATGCCACATTTATTTTTTCCATCAACCAATAAAATAGAAGAGAAAAAGTAATTATATAGCACAACATAGATTAGGTAGCAAGGGGTAGCCTATCAAAAGGAGTGCTTAGCATTTATTGTGTTTTGTACATTCTTTTTAAACAAATCAATGAAATTCCATTCTAGGTCCAAATGCAATTGAAACTAAAAACAAGATGACTCAATTTCACATTGAGGCACATGAAGAAATTCCAATAGCTGCTAAAAAGGAAAACCTGAGATTTCAGAGATAATCTTTTGGCAACACAATGCATATCTTTCACTTTCTTCTTTCATTGTTTCTTTTCTGTGTGTGTGGGGGGGGGGGGGGGGTTGGACTAGAAACAAATAAAATTTGCCATAATGAAAAAGAACACTCTAACTAACCGTGTCTTGATGAAAACATGTACAATAGCAGCCACATAGAAGATGAATTGGGTGATCAAAATCAGAACAATCACCGATCCATTTGCAAATGAATAGCAAACTATGGAAATGATAATGAAGCTGGCAAGTGGAGGAAATTTCTGGGATGTTAGCAAAGAAAGGACCAAAGACACCAAAATGGGTACTACAGATAGAAGGAGATATGGCAGAGGCATTCTCAAATTGGATTCCACAGCTGCCAGCATGGAAGGTAGAGGCAGATCAAGCTCCCAAGCACGTGCTTGTCGCATCAAAGCAAATAAGATGACCGCTAAGGAGAAACCAATTATCTGCACAAAAGCAATCAAATAGCATGAAAAGACTGGAAAGAATCTCATAAATATTCAAGAATCATCTAATCACATCTGAAATAAGCAATCAAAGTACAAATATGCAAACAAAAATAACCTAAGCCAAGTTGCTATTCAACCAAAATGGCATCATCTAAAACTTTACAGCAAAAGCTGAACATGCCTTGTGGTTAAACTTTCCCATCAATCACAAGGCCACAAATGCACCAAGTACCACCACAATGAACAGACCACCACCTACCATAGAAAATACAAAAGTTTCCCCTCCCTTGCAAAACACAACTAAGAAGGTGATATAAAAGAAATATACAAGGAAGTCCACCAATTCCATCTTACAAATAGTCAACACAATCCCCACCCAAATAACACAAAAAGTTGCCACAACCCCATGCAAACAAAAGGATGCAGCCACTCTTCAAAATTCCATCTCCTCAAAGGCATCCTATAATGACTCAACCCAGAAGCGGGCTACCAACTTTTTGTTGAAGCTCTACATCTCTAATAGCACTTTTCCCCCCAAAAGGAAGTCCATTAAATTGCCACAAATTCTTACTGATCAACAATTTTGTATCCACATCTATTTTCTATAAGCAAAGAGGTGGCTTTGTTTGTTTTTTTGTTTTTGTTTTTTTTAAGGATCAAAAGGAAACTTTATTAAAATTGAAAAAGAAAGCAGTACATCTCCGAAAAATGGTTGTCTAGATGACAAACCGACTACTTAAGAAATTACATTGTAAATGACTCCAAATTACAGGTATTCAACTCTATGGTACTCCAGAAATTCTCTATCAGATCTGACTTGTTCACTTGGTCGAGCTCTGGAAGACTGAGAACCCAGGCTGCAAACGAATTGCTCACCCCAGCTAAAAAGTATTCGACATTCTGGTTTTTCTTCTTGAAGTAATACCCCACTGGTTTGATACTTCTAAAAAAAAATTCTATCTCCCTTCTTCTTCTTCCTTCCTTCACTCCCCTCACTTTCCATCTAAGGATCCTCATCTTCCCCCCTCCTCCCCCTGTCTCCCCCGACCCCTAAATTTCACTCAATCTCGTCCAGCCCCTCCTCCTCTCCCCCTTCCTCGTCCCACCTCTTATATTTTTCAAGGTATTCTTCCCTTTTTTTCCTCTTCTCTTTTCTTTTTTTTTTCAAATTTCTCAAAAGCTATTCTTGCAAAATCTTCCCCTCCCCAGAAGACTAAGCCTAGAGACTAACCTATCTCGACCTCCCTCTTCACGAGTTTGTTAATATTCACCTTCACGTTCTGTACTATCTCCGAAGCTTCTTGATCCCCTTGGGTCTGATCAGCTCTTCCTCTTTCTCTATTCTTGTCCCCCGACTCCAAGGCCTCTCCCTCTTCCCCTTGCTTCTCTCCTTCTGGCCTCTGATTGGAAATTAAAAGCCTTCCCTTTCTATTATATACCTTATCTCAGATTCCACTTTCCCCCTCCTCCTCCCAAGACTTTCTTTCTTTCTTTTTGTTATCTTCTCCCCCGCCTCTTCCTCTGAGCTCCTTTCTTCCCCTCTCTCCCTGTTTGTGACTTCCAAGGCAAAACCACTTGGTGAACAAGATTGACTCACCTCATCATTTCTGTACGGAGGTACCAGGATATCCTCATCGCGTCTTACTTGTGTTTCTTTCTTGTTTCCTTCTAGTAACACTGTTGTTTTTTCTATGGTGCTTGAAATCTGGTTGCCAAAACATCTCTTCTCCTCTGGAACAATCAGCCTCCCGGGCAACCCTTCTCTTCTGTGCCCCTTTCCGCCCCTGACCGTAACTCCCTTTCTTTCAGCCTATTTGAGAATTCTCTGTTTCTCTGGTTTATTGTTCTTTTGCTTCTTATTGAATCTCCAGACACTTCTTCTGCTACAGATTTCTGTGAATCTACTTCCACCATCAAACTTGTAAATCTCTTCTCTTTTACCTCACCTCCCAAGAAATTGATCTTTTTTTCTGTTTTCATACTTGGTCACCACCCAAATCCAGCTATCTTCTTCCTTTTTCTTGTGATCTCTGCGAATGGTTTTCCTGGAACTCGAACGGTCGGACCTGGTCTTCTTAAAAAATAAAGTTCTTTTTCAGTTTTTCCATGTCTGCCCCTCCCGGTCACTGACTTTTTAACTCTCAAAACCTTTTTGCAGTTTATCGCTAACTTACTAAAGTGGTAAACCTTTTTTAGGCCTACCTTCTTATTACCAGCTATCACCTTTTCCTCTCCCCTTCTATTAACCTCCTCCTTTTTAAAACCATCTCCCCCTAAAGGCCCAGGCCCATCAACCTCCATTTCTCCCCCTTCTCAATCTGCCATCTCACTCCCTCCTCAAAATGCCACAAACTCATCATCATCATCTTCTTCTCCCCTTCGTCTCTTCAACTCCCTCTTCTTCTCCAACTCCTCTCCCCTGTGTTTCCACCTGCCCCTTCTCCTTCCTCCATCCTCCTTCCTCCTTCCTCTTTACTCTTCTCATTCAAGTTCTTCTTTGCTCATTCTTCCTTATCTGCACTGTGATATGTGCCATCTGTTCCCTCAACAAACAGCCTCAAAACATATTGTTCTCCTGCAAATAACAGACTCATCTGCTTTGGTTTACCTGGCATATGTTTTACTTTGGCTAGTAACCTCACCATGTCCATTTTCTCCCATTTTCGATTCCTATCATCCAATCGAATGAGTCTTCAATAAGATGCTGCTATTTCCTCGAACGTATTGATGCACCATGCCTGCAATGGAATCCCCACTATATCTATCCATGCCGCACAAGTCTGTCTGCCTTCTACCAGTTCTCTGACTGTCAGCAACCACCAATCCAGCCTTAAGTCGAAATCTCTTTCCTTTGATTTCTCCTCCTCCAGAACCTGTTCTGCAAATTCTCTATTCTGGAACATTATTAGTAAAAGCTCTGCTTGCAGTTTCCTTACTCCCAGGACCTTTTCTCTTCCCCATTCTAAGATCGTCCAACTTTCTAACTCCTTTATTTCAACTTCTCTCCCAACTATTCTGCCTATCAAACTTGCTCAAAGAACATTCAATCTCTCCTCCAACTTCCCTGCTTTTCTTACTTCCACTAAAGGCATTTTCTTCTACAGATCTACTCCGCCATTAGAAGATTTCTTACTTCCACTAAAGGACAAATCTGCTAATGTGATGTTAAACATTATGCATTCCCGATTCTACAAGCCACCTTTGTACCAAGCCCCTCAAGACAAGCCCAAACAAGAAGGAGATACGAACTACATCCTTAAGAAGTAGTTCATATTTTTTGTTTCCCTCTAGGAGAAGTTTATACTACATTCTTAAGAAATTTCTCAAATGACCATCTTTCTATATTGATATCAAAGCCAAAATATTTTGGGGTGCCATTACTTTCACCGTTTGTTAGGGGATATAAAGAGAGAACAGAAGGATCTTTTAGACTTCTGCCTGCAAATGTAGGTTATTCTTGACTGAATTTGGTCCTTCCAGAATTTGAAGATGTAGATAGAATATCCTTAGGAGGGATTTTTTTTTAGCACCTGAGATTTTGTCAACGATGTTTCATAATAAATTTGTCTATATGTATAAACATTTGCTAGCAATGTCTTGAGGGACATCTTTCAGTAAACCTTGGTTTCATATCAACACCTCATACCATGTACATTCTTTAGATGAGATGACATCACATAACCCTCTACAGCACTTGGGATTAGCCCTTGATGACCAGAGCTTGCTCCACTCATTGCTAAGCATAACTACTAGTTTAAAAAGTGAAGACAAAAAAAGAATCAACCAGAAGCAGCAGTTGGAGGGATTTCTGAATTGGTGGAATTACTAGGCACCCTTATCAGGTTCTCGGAGGGTGATAAAGACTGTTAAGGAGAATGGAACGGGAGGAGAGAAACTTCCGGTCGGTGGGGAAGTGGAGGTTGGAGCTGGGCATTGAAGCTAAACACTTTCTGTTTGAACAGGGAGGGACAAGAGGTAAGGCTTATCTGAAAATCAGGGAAGGTTGTAGGGCCACGCTACTATTACCAGAGGAGGCTTGCTAATGACCGAAAGGCTTTGTTGATGGAACAGTAAACTCTATCAAGGTAGAAGGGTGGAAAAACTCAGTGGTATGTTGTGGGAAAAGTTATGAATCGGTTCTGAGAAGGAATGAGAGAGGATGGTTTATCATGGTAACAGAATACTTTGGTACTAACAAGAAACAAGTATTATGCATACCGGAAGGTCTGAGGGGTCAAGGCTGGACTTCCTTCGCCAATAATATCCAGGCCTTTCTCTTGGAATTTGAAAGGAAGGCTGTAGGAGGATTGGATAACAGATCGGTTGAAGATGCTCCTTTAAGCTGTGGTACCCCGGAGCAGAGCAAGAAGCAAAGTCCCTGCTGTCAAGAGACTTTGATAGCAAGTTCATTTGGTATCCGAAAGTTAGCACTTGAAGAAGGGAGAGGCAAATGGGAATACAGAATGGTGTTAATGGCTGATAGGGTTGTAAGGGATTGGACGAAAGTGCTAGATGCAGTTGCAGAAAGACTGGGTTTAGAAGGTGATGCAGTAGTTCTACCGTTTGATGAGAAGAAAGCCATCCTCCATACAGGTGATGAAAAACTGATTTTCAATCAGTCCAAGTAGATGGAGGACTGATACAAATACAAAAATGGGTTCGGTTATGCAACGAAGTTGTGCTAAAGGACTGCAACTTCTGGATCAAATTCTTAGGACTCCCTTTTAATCTCTGGAATGAACAGACCTTAGGAAGAATCGTTAGATTCCTAGGGGGTGTTCTTCTGGAGCTGAACTTGAGAAACTTGTGTGCTGCGGAGATCAGAGTTGCAGGGCTGAAGCCGGAGAGCTTGCCTCGTGCTCTCGAAATTCTTTCAGATGGAGCCTGGTATAAGATTTGGCTGGCGACGGAAGTTGAGGCGTCTCTTTGGGGGAGACGACCAGAGGTAGGGGATGATGACGTGGCAGCGGGATGGAGCACACGTGGCACCCAAGGAG